CACACGACCAGCACTAAACTAATTGAAGCAGTGACTAAACAATCAGATGGAGGTGTTTGAAAGGTGATAGTTTGTTTATGCTATTAGTATAACAGACAATGTCAAGAGCAATTAAATGAAAACAAAGGGAATTCAGAATGATATTTAAAGTGGCAACTGTTTATTAATAGTAAATAAAATGGTAATTAACATAAAAGCACAGCTGTTAAAATTAGAGGGCATGGTAAGAAGGTGGAGGTGTGCTTCCCTCAAGACCTCTGATAGTAGGGAGGAGGGTTCCCTTCCGGTTGAAGGGGTTTTCTCTTCAGCCCCCGGTATCAGAGGCAACCCCATCCAGTTTCCTTTTCAGGTACAGAAGAATATAGAAATATAGAGATGAGCGTATAAGAAGCTAGAAGACTGAATGGGTAATAAATTAATTGAAAATTAAAGGAAGATGTATTAATGGTTAGAATGTGATTTAGAGGGAGTTGTATGGTGGTTTTATATGCGGGTAGGATATGGGAATAAGAAAAAGAAGAGGGTACAATCTGGATTTGGATTAAGTTTAATTTGTCGGTTATATAGATGAAATGTAACCTCATGTTGTGCTTAAATTATGAAATAGAGTATAAATACATATTGTATGAAATAGTTCTATGAAAGATATACTCTACAAAATAAAAATATGATCCTGCAGAGCATTCTGGCGCCCAATCGGGTCCATTAGTCTCTGTGGGCGAGCATAAATTAGCTCACCACCTAGATGTGGGGGAGGGTCAGAACATCCAGCCGGCCCTTCAGAACTAAGTGATCTGACCATGGCACTTCCTTCCTCCTTGGAGATCAGATCAGCTTCCAACCCCATTCCGAAGATCAAGTCCAGTGTGTGGCCTGCTCGATGTGAGCTACCGGCATTAAAGTTCTACTCTGTGAGCTACCGGCATTAAAGTTGTGATTGAGTGATTTGGCTACTGCATAAATTGGTTTGCTCTGGAGCCATCCTTCCTGCGCTAAGACAAAAATGTGTGAGCTGGAGGCTATAAAACTGTGAGCTAGCTCCCACTAACTCAGCTTAGAGGGAACAAACTGGGAAAACCCCAGTGCTGCCATGGAAGACACCAGGAAGACACCAAGCAGCAGCCCCATCGGTGTGGACATTGAAGTCTCCAAGGGCCAAGAGCCTAGGGAACTCCAAGGCCCACCCAGCTACCACCTCCAGCAGACTCCCCAGGCTGTTGGCCAGTGCGCCAACCTCTTCTGTGATGATAATTTCAAGTAATCTTTAACCTCTTTCTCCAGCAAATCTCCCCCAAAAAAACTGAAAGACCTCATAGTAACCTGAATGTTTGCTTCTCAGTCTCATACAGCATGTCCTTGAAATGCAAATTCCAAGTTCTCACAATCAGTCTTTTAGACACATTCTGTTAACCTTTCCCCCCACTAACCATTCTTATTTCTATCGGAGTAATAGAAGGGTAAGGCCCTTAGTGGCACAGACACATAAAAGTAATACCTAACTGTTGCTTCTGGGGGATTTTTTCCTCTTAAGAAACCAATAAAGCTGCCCACAATTTGTGCCTCATTTAGACCTTTGCATCCTGATGTCTCGCCAAAATTTTTTCCAGATTTGTTTTTAGAATTAATGTTCCAATTGTATGCAGGGAGGGTAGGGAAGGGAGCACACTACTCTGAAGAAATGATTGAGATCAAAGGATGCCTGAGTGGGCTTGTGCTGTGCCACTTCTGCATGAAGGTATCCAAAGTCCACAGCAAACTTTGCATTCCCAAGAAACTTGTTTTTAGAAGTCTTTATGCTTATTATAAACTGTTTGAAAACAGGAGGGCAGCACAGAAGAATAAAATGCAAGCAAACAAAAAAGCCCTTAATAGCAAAACAAGCCTTTCAACCTATTTTATCCAGCTGCAAAACTGCCAATAATTTAGATTGGGAGGATTTCACTCTGTTGGTTCTCTCTGAACCTTTCTGAAGTTATAAAGCAACCCAGTATTAGCTCAAATATCTCCTAATAGCAAAGTTGGCCAATCTTTGAATACTCAAATCTAGTGACTGGAGCTGTGAATGGGCAAGACAGATCTTTCTACAAACCTGAAATGGGCCCCAGGTTTGCCGGAAAATGTGACATCTAAAAAAAAAAATTGGGTTTTTTTTTAAAAAGCTGAAAATGATAAAAGGAGTGCCTGTAGCTTTAAGCAACAGATTCCCTCAGTCACTGTTGCTAGACAACCACAGTATTGCAGGCTGGGTTTATGAAAGGAAAAGGGCAGGAGGAGAGGGCAGGGCCCTTTCCAGCCCTATTTGGCCTCTGAGGGAGGACTCATCAGGGCCAGGCCTGATTAAGGTTGCCAGCAGCACGTTCAGAAATTCATATAGATTTTGTGGTGGCATGGTTTTTTTTGGGGGGGACATGGTTTGGCGGGGGGAGCCTCCACTAGCTATTATGCCGGTTTGATGTAGTGTTTAGGAACGTGGATTCTAATCTGGGAGAACCGGGTTTGATTCCCCATTCCTCCACATGCAGCTGCTGGTGGGACCTTGGGTCAGTCATAAGTTCTTTCAGAGCTGTTCTCTCAAGGGCAGTACTTGAGAGAGCTCTCTCAGCCCCACCTACCTCACAGGGTGTCTGTTGTGGGGAGAGGAAGGGAAAGGGATTGTAAGCTGCTCTGAGACTCCTTTGGGTAGTGAAGGACAGGGTATAAATCCAATCTCTTCTTTTTCTTCTTCTTCTTCATAGAGCCCATCCTCCAAAGCAGTCATTCTCTCCAGGGGGACAGATCTCTGCATCTAGAGTTCAGATGTAATTTGGGAGATCTCCAGGTCCCACATAGAGTTTGGAAACTCTAGGCCTGGAAGCATCCTCTGGTGACTTGATACCACCTGCATGACTCAACTAGGCTTGACTGCCTGCTACAACCACTCTATGAAAGCCAGTGTGGTGTAGCGGTTAGAGCTTCAGAGCTCTAACCCATCTTACTGTGGAAGCTCACTGGGTGATTTTGGACCAGTCATATACTTTCAGACTAACCTACCTCACAGGGTTGTTGTGTGGATAAAGGAGGAGAGGAAAATAATGTAAGATGATTTCGTCCCCACTGTGGAGAAAGGTGGGGTATAAATTAAGTAATTAATAAATATAGCAAAGATGGGAGACAGATAAAAGGTAGGTTGGCAATACCTGAGGAGATAATGAGGCAGGGAAAGGGGAGAGGATATGGGGGCTGCCAAGGGGAGAGGGAAAGGAAATGGTGTGGAGAGAGGGATGGGCGGAAGGAGAGGCATCACCCCACAAGTCATAGAGAATTCCCTACCATGTAAATGGGCCTGGTGCAGTGGCAGGCATCACACAACTTGGCCATAGTTTCCTAGATAGAGTCTGCTGGGGTGAGGGAAAGAGGAAAAGCTTAAGACAGAGAGCTCTGATAAAGGTAAGCAGATAGGGCTACCAGCTCCAGGTTAGGAAATTCCTGGATATTTGGGGGCTGGAGCCTGGAGATGGTGGGGTTTGAGGAGGGGAGAAACCTCATAAAGCCAAAGACGCTACCTTCCAAAACAGCCATTTTCTCCAGGGGAACTAGGGTTGCCAGTCGGGGGGGGGGGGGGGGGTTGGAGATCACCCAGAATTACAACTGCTCTCCAGATGACCAAGGTCAGTTCACCGGGAGAAAATGACTGCTTTGGAGGGTGGATTCCATGGCATTATACCCTACTAAGGGTGTTCCCTTCCACAACTTCACCCTTCCAAGGCTCTACCTTCAAAGCTCCCAGAATTTCCCCGCCTGGACCTGGCAACCCAAAGGAAACTTATCTCTGTGGCTGAGAGATCTGTTGTGATTCCAGGAGATCTCCACAACCCACCTGAAGGCTGGCAACCCTAGAAAGAGAGGAGGAAGCAGGGAAAGGGTCTCCCTTATGGCTATGGGGGCTTCAGGAAAGGGAAAGAGGAAATAGTGGAGGAGGAGGAGATGTGATGCTTCCTGCAAGTCCTTGTGGGTTCTGGTTTGTATAATAGGGATTCTGTTGCCAGCTGGAGAGATTTCAAAGCCACAGGGTGCATGCAGTTCATCCATCTCCTAAGGGAGGTGGACATTAGACACGTTACAAATATGTTCCATAATGAGAACTAGAAACTTGCTTGGTAATTTTTTAAGCAAAGTGGAATCTCCAAAATTCCTGGACTGGGTTTTTAATGCTGGGTTTTAATCAATACATTTTAATGTTTTACTTTTTTTTATTTTATTTTTGTAAGCGTCCTCAGGCATGTTCCTGGAGAGGCAGCCTAAAATGTTCTAAACAAATAACTAAATCTGTAATGGGGGGGTGGTGGTGAAAAGGCTTGCCCGTTCGTCCATCAGCCAGAGCTATAATTTCTGGCTAGATTCTTTCGGTGGCTAGCCTTTCTACCATATGTTAGTAGGCAACTTGGCGCTGTTTCTGGAGGCTTGGGATCTTCTTCCAAGTTCCCCCTCCCTGCCGTCCACACAGACGCTGCGCCCACGCTCGCTCTCTGCCCCAGAGCTGTGGGGACCCTTGGGCAGCTCTTTGGGGCTGACAAGGAAAGGTTTTAGAGAAAGCGGCACCCCCGCGGCAGGGGCGAGTTCCGGAGATCCTGATCTGGATCTGCCAGGCTCTGGCACCGCCGCCACCACTGAACTAAGCCCGGGGGGGGGGGGGGGGGTAGGGACGGG